GTCCATAGCCGGCTTCTGAAGAGGACCCTGCTCGTTGTCCTGCCTGCGATCCTGATCCAGATTCCGATCCGTGCACTCCTGAGTCCAGTTCCCATCCACTGCTGAGGCCAGTCCGGGACTGCCTGGGGCTGCCCGGCAGCTGCTGGCGGGACACCAGTGCCCCAGCACCCAGCTCTGGGAAACTCAGCATCGGTTTTGTGTATTTTATTTTATTTCTCTTATCTTTAGTATTCTTAGTGTTCTTAGTAAAGCTATTTTTATATTCAGTTTAAGTCTCTCTCCCTTTTCCTCCTTTTTCCCTTCCTCTGGTGGGAGGGTACAGGTTAATAGAGAGCATCTGCCACTCTGTTTATCACCTCCCTGCTCTAAACAGTGACACACCTAAATACCTATTTGTTTGATGGTCTGCATATCTCCCCAGAAGATTAAATCACCAGTCAAGATATGAATTGGAAGTTACTGTGAATACAGTTCTATTGTGAGAATGGAAAAAGCTACTAACGCACACATGCGTATACTATACTTGCCATACAGCAGTATCTAATGAACTAAAATTTCAAACTAACAACTGTAAAATGAGTTCAGTACAATCATGCTTCAATGGAAGGAATTTCACCTTTTTTGGAAAGATAGTGAGGCCAAGGGAAATTCCAGACCCATAGCACACATTTATAACAAGGCAAAAGACAACAAAAGCACATTTTTGTTAGTGCTATTTCGATACCAAATCAGTTACATGGAATACAATGTCTTCTTCTACTTCACAAAGAAAGGGAAACACACAGGTATACAACATTTCTACAAATTAGGCTACACATCTTTAGACGTGAGCAACACTTTAAGTGCACACTAAAACCATTGATTACATCAGCCCATTCTCTTTCAAACTCACCATGCAGAAAGTAGTAATGGCATTTATGAGTTAATAATGGCTTGTCAACAAGCACAGAAATCTCCTCAAAAAGCCCTGGTATATCTATACAGTCTCTGAGAAGGTTCTGTACTTCAGTACAGGAACTGTAAAGGAAGGCAATGCTTTATGAAAGCATGAAATAATCTTACGAATGAAACACCCGCTGTTAAAGACTTTTGAAGAGACAGAAGGCAGAGGAAACATCTCTGCTTGTGGCTCTTAAGAAAAAGAGGCACTCTCAGAAACGTGTTTCTTTTATGGAAAATATGCATGAGAAAATAGGATGTAGTTCACGCCACAGAAGCATAGTCTAGAAAAAAAAATATAAGATAAGACAATGAATTTAGGAAAATACTAGAACTAAAATGTATGAAGAACTGTTCTTTAACAATGAACGATCAAGCTATTCATTTGTATTTCAGTGTGCAATAGTGGCACTTCAAGCGTTGCAAAGGGAAAATATATCTAGCCAATACTACATCCAGCTACCTCCTCCTCTCGATAATCATCAATCAGCAGTGCCTGCACATCTTGGCCAATAGACTGTGGACTGGAGTAGCTTTTTCTTCTGATTGAGCCTCGAGACTCATCAGTGATGCTCTGAATCTGGGACAAAAAGGTTACCAACAACAACAAAAAGAACAGTCTACAGAAAAAAGCAGATTATCATGTTATTAAAAATAAAAACAGTCTTCATTTATATAGTTGAGATTTGGTATCTGTCGTGTTTTAGCCCTGACCAGCAACAAAGCAGCACATGGTTGCTCTATCACCCCTCCCCCCTCAGTGGGGTGGAGAGGAGAATTGGAGAATTGAAAGGAAAAGGCATAAAAACATGTGGGTGGGGATAAGGACAGTTTAACAGAACAGAAAAGGAAGCTAACAGTAACAACAATAATACTGATATGAAGAATATACGAAACAAGCAAATACACAGGGCAAATTTCTCACCACCTGACGCCCAGTGTGCTCCTGAGCAATGATTAACCTCCCCCCAGCCAGCACCCTCACTTAAAACTGAGCATGATGTCACATGGGATCGAATACGCCATTTATTTTGTTGTAAAATAGGGTATGTGATGTGATATACAGAGGGGGTACATGATGCGTAAGAGTGATAGGGAATTTCACAAAGATGAAGCAGAAAACAAAGGACTATCAGAGGCCTCAGGCAAGAACGCACCAAAGGGCACGTAATAAGCACACCCTAAAGAAGTGCGGATAAACCAGCAGACACCAAGATAATGAACCTGAGAAATCCATAAACTTCTCAGTGAGCCAACTCATGACCATATGGAAGCCCCACAGAGACCCAGGCTGCATGCATAATGACTATGCAAATATGATAAAATAGTTCCAGGAAATAGAATAAATATATATGAACATTCCAGGAAGCTTAATACACATGTAACAGGGTTACATAAGCTTGGGGTGAGGTGACCTACGGACCTACGGCACGCAGGTTAGGAGGAGTGACCCCCTGTGCATCTGGCACCACAATAAAGAACGCTTGCTTTTTAATGCCACATTGGCGTTAAGTTTTTCCTTCTGATTTCATTGACAGTTTTGGCAATCCAGGTGTGACTCTGCTTTTGAATTTCAACGGATTCATGGGATCGCAGGACCTCCAGACAGCACTGAGGGATTCTCAGAAAGAACCTCCGATCCCTGGCCCGAAGAATTCTGAGCAAAATCCCCTGAACTAAGGTAATAAGGCATTCTTTCTGGGTATACCAGTAACAAGGGTTGGCTGCCCGCCCATAATCTGCAGCAAAAGCTACACAGGGTTGGGCTATAAATGGTAGCTAAGGTGAGGAAGCCAATCTCTGCTAGGTGAAAGCCTGCAGAGCTGTGGAACTCTGGCTAAAGGGTTGGGCTTCAAGTCCCCAGAGGGGCTGAAGTCCCCTATAAGGTTGTGGGTTCGAGTCCCACTTAAGTAAAAGGGGTTAGTCACCAACACTGAGGGGTTAGAGTCCCCAACTTAGTTAATCGTCTTGTTTGGTCTCTGAATTTTGGTTTGCATATCAGAACTATGTATTTGTTGTGCATTCAGATACAGTTTTGTCTTTAGTGTTGTTGTATTTTATAATGGATAGTAAACCCTCGGTGGAAGGGTGGATTCTGAAAAGTCTCCCCTAGGATATATATTGAAACACTGGGAAAAGTAGCGGGGACCCCCTCACTCACAAAGAGCTTAATAGTGTATGGGGCTTGGTTTGTTTAAAGCGAACTGGTATGATTTGGGAACTGAACTGGGAATTTTGGAATTGGTTTTGGGATACTTACAAGTCGATACGTATTGTGGGATTACAAGTTCTCTGGTTATTTGGCACTGATGGATCATTTCGGGACTCTGGTTTTGGGTTGTATATTATATATACTGTATATACTGTCTTGAATGAGCTCTATGTATATGTATAAACATATTGATTGAGGTAGTTTGGTTGTACATACAGATTGTTGTACGTAAGTGATACACAGGCTGCCTTGATTTCAAAAAGATCCCCTCTAGGATATGTGCGTGTGTGTTGTGTTAACTGATTGGTCGAGAAGAAGAGAGGTTATTTTACTGTAACATGGGTTCTGGACAAGCTTCGGAGGTAGGAATTTTAAAGAAGTCACCTTTGGGATGTCTACTGAAGCACTGGAAGGGGGTGGGAGGTGATCTCCTCACAAGGAAACAATTAATTGAATACTGTAATCATTGGTGGCCAATGTATATTTTGGGAGATCAAGAGAAACAGCCAAAGAATGGAACTTTAAAGTATGATATTACAATTAAGGTTGTTTTGCTCGTGCAAAGGGAAATGGGAATGTGTCTACATTGTTTAAAGTATGGCAGGAGCCAGAGGAAAATCCCTCTGGATTTTGCAAACACTTGTGTAAAGTGACTAGGACAGAAAGGTATGCAGTTACAGGCTTCTTTGCTAGCTGCTACTCTGAATGGAAAAGGCAGAGGAGTACTGATCAGTCAAGAGACAGAAAGACAGAATTAAAGGAGGAGGTAGACAGGGTAGTCTTCCCAGAAAAGACAGGCACTGGAAGACAGAGTGCCCCAATTACCAGCACAAGTCCCTAAGGCTGGAGGGGGGGCTGGGGGTGTACAGTTCCTGACGCTGACCTGCTTGTGAGTCAGATCAGAGAGGACCAGGGGTGATTTTAAAAGGTATCCCCAGCAGATCCTCTGGTTCCAATTAAACTGGTGAACAACAAGATGGAATTTTCAGTTGATATGAGAACCACTCATTCTGTACTTAACACCTGCAAAGGAAAATTTTAGCCATGAGACTATTAGTGCTACAGGGAAACAAGAAACTCGTCTCTTTTTCCCTTACATGAAGTTAGGAAAGCAATGGGTGACTCACCAATTTTTGTATATGTCTGATTGCCCAGTACCCTTGATGGGAAGAGGTTTATTGAGCAAATTAGATGCTCAAATAACATTTAAAGATAGAGAGGTGTGACTACTAATACCTGAATCAAAGGCTGTGGAAGCGAGAATTTTTATGTTGCAGAACACACAAAGATCCAAGGAAGAAACTTCTGCAGAAGTAGAGGATTCAGTTAACACCCTTGCTCTGGGCTAGTGGAGTCCCAGGTTGGTCTAAATTGGTGGAAATAGTGAAAGCTGTCCTAAAATCTGGAACTAAACCAGTAAGACAAAACCAATATCCCATTAGGTGGGAAGCCAGAAAGGGGCTGGCGGAATTAATACTGAAATTTTTAAATTATGGATTGTTGATAGAACGTGAATCAGAATATAACACCCTGATATTGCCAGTGAAAAAGCAAGATGGCAAGGAATACAGGTTAGTTCACCCACTAGCAGCTAACCCATATACCTTGCTGACATCCCTGAAGGAAAAACATAACTGATTTACTGTACTTGATCTCAAGAATACTTTCTTCTACATATCTCTAAACAAAGACAGTCAGGAAATATTTGCCTTTGAAGGGGAAAGCCCCACCACCAGTTGGTGCAAAACACAACTTACCTGGACAGTGTTACCTCAAGGCTTCAAAAGCAGCCCTACAATATTTAGCAACCAGTTGGCAAAGGAGCTAGAACTACAGAAAAAGGAAAACCCTGAGGGAACAATTTGCAATACATTTTATTGGCTGCAGAGACCTGGGGAAAGTGTCTAAAGATGATTATACGTCTGTTGAATTTCTTAGGACAAGGAGGATACTGAGTATCAAATAGCAAATCCCAGGTGGGGAAGACGACTACAATTTATTTAGGTTTTGAGATCTCACAAGGACAGCGGAGACTGGGAACTGACAGAAAAGCAGCGATCTGCTAGACTCCAGAACCAAGAACTGTACAAGACCTAAGGGTGTTTTCAGGTGTGCTTGGATGGTGCAGACTGTGGATTCTCAACTGTGGATTATTGGTGAAACCCCTTTACGAAACTTTGAAGGGGTCAAAAAAGAACCATCTACTATGGACTCCCGAATGCCAAGTAGCCTTTAAGGACTTAAAAAATGCTTTGATGTCAGCACCTGCATTGGGACTGCTGGATGTGTCTAAACCTTTTTAGCTATTTGCACTTGAACAACATCTTGCCCTGGGCGTGCTGACTGAAAGAATGGGGAACCTGGAGAAGAGCTATGGGATATTTATCCGAACTGTTGGACAACATGGTAGCAGCTTTATACAAGATGGAAAAAAGGATAGTCAGATATGCAGTGGCTATAACTACACAAGTAATATAGGCTGGGGCCCTACCCATTAACATGTCAGACCAGAAGGCAGAATTGGTGGCATTGAGACAAGCCTTGAAGGTAGCTGAAAGGAAAAAGGGGAATACATGGACCAATTCAAAGTATGCATTTGGGATAGTCCATGCAACATGGGCTATCTGGAAAGAGAGAAGATTGTTGTCAGCTCGAGGATCACCTATTAAGTACAAGGAAGAAATTCTTCAACTTCTACAGGATATTCAGAGCCATAATGCATTGCCAAGCACATCAAATGGGACAAAACTGCTAGAGAGGTAACTGAACGAAGCATCTTGCATTGGTACCCATGAAACACGTGAAGCTCCCAATTCTGAAGCCTACTTATAGCAAGACAGATCAACAACTGGCATCACTGTTAAAAGCAACCACAAGTGATGCGGGCTGGTTAATAACCCCCACAAAACAAGTCACTGTTACACCACAGATAGTGACTGAAAGTGTAAGAGAGACATGAGAAAACACACTAGGGTGGTGAGGCTATGATTGCTAGGCTTCAAAATTTGATTGTATGTGTAGGGATGACTGGGACAGAAAAGTCTGTAATAGCACAATTCCTTACTTTAAAAAAAAATAATCCCATAAATAGGAAAAGGCTGCCCCCAGGGACCAGTAAGCAAGGAAATTCCCCCAGAGATTACTGGAAAATTGATTTTTCTGAGGTACCAATACAAAATGGTTACAGACATCTTCTCATATTAGTTGATACCTTCTCAGGATGGCTGGAGGTTTTCCCCCGTTGCACCAACAAAGCTAGGGAAGTAACTAAGCTATTACTCAAAGAAATAATACCAAGGCTTCGGGTACCAACAGGAATATCCTCTGATCGAGGCACATGTTTTGTGGCAGACTTAGTCCAACAGTTAAGTAAAA